TGCATTCGTAGAGGCAGTTCCTCTTCCGAGTGCCCAGGCCCGTGGAGCGCTTGTGTTTATGAAAGGAGCGCCGCAGTGAGAAGGAATATGCCTGTAGGAGACTTGGGGAGGCCGGGAGGAGGACGAGGAGGATGAGGAGGAGGGGGAGAGCGAGGAGGAAGACGAGAACGAGGAGGAGCAGGAGGGAAGGGGCGGGGACGAGGAGAAGGGGGGATGGACAAACGATAAGAGGGCCAAGAGCAGGACAAGGAGCCAAAGCAGCACTGGCAGCAGGAGGAACAGGAGGGAGGTGGAGGATGAGGACCAGGAGGAGGAAGCTTGGGGCGGGAGGGTGTACGGCGGCATCGCTGATGCATCCTGGGTGTACGCAGGTCCTCTTCCTCATCCGCCTCCGCCTCCGCCTCCTCTCAGCCCCTTCTCCTCTTCCCCCCCTCCCACCCTCCTCCCCCTCCCCCTCCCCTTCCCCCCTTCCCCCCTCGCCCGATCCCAAACCCGGGCCCTCGACCCTCGCGATGCACCGACAGCCCTGATATTCGACAGCGCGAAAAACTGCAACTTCGCTAGAGGGCGTGCTCCTTGACACAGGCAGGTTTACTTGCATGGCATTTCCCCTCCCCCCTCTCTGCAGCTTTTGCAGGCAGCGCTGGGCCGAAAAGGCGTGCGAGTGAGTCCCGACTTGCGTGAACTTCAGAACTCCTCGGGGCCTCGCCACACGCCCCCCCCCCTCACCCTCTATACTAATGAGCTTGCCGGAATCTGAAGCAAAACGACCTCCTTCCAGGGTGCGCTCTGACCAGGACTTGGGGCGCATCCAGCTGTGACCACGAGGAAAGGGTGCGGTATCGGTACCTTCCCTGAGATCCGACGTTGCGACAAAAACTGCAACATCGCGTAAAATCAAGACCGACGCCGAGGCCCCTGTGCTTCTGTGGCATTTTTCGAGTCGTCGACGGCGCAGCCCGAAGGCCCACGACTGGCTGGCGGCGCTGGCCGCGGCCGGCGTGGCCGAGGCCGTGCCGCCTGGGCCCGCCGATGGGCCAGGCTCCGGGCCCTTCCGCGCCGCCCCAGCTCGTCCGAGGAGAGGGGGGCGGGGTGGCGCCCTCGACGGTTTCGAGGAGGAAGGAGAAGGATGAGGATGATGCTGATGATGATGATGATGAGGAGGAGGATGATGATGATTATGATGATTATGATGGTGATGGTGATGATGATGATGAGGAGGAGAATGATGATTATGATGAGGAGGATGATGACGATGACGATGACGATGACGATGACGATGACGATGACGATGACGATGGTGATGAGGATGATGATGATGAAGATGACGATGACGATGACGATGAGGATGATGATGATGATGATGATGATTATGATGATGATGATGGTGATGGTGATGGCGATGATGATGATGATGATGATGATGATGATGATGATGGTGATGGTGATGATGATGATGATGATGATGAGGAGGAGGATGATGAGGATGATGATGAGGATGTGCTGATGATGATGAGGAGGAGGAGGAGGAGGAAGAGCAGGATGATGATGACGATGACGATGACGATGACGATGACGATGATGATGATGATGATGATGACGATGATGATGATGATGCTGATGATGCTGATGCTGATGCTGATGATGATGCTGATGGTGATGATGATGATGACGATGATGATGCTGCTGCTGATGGTGATGATGATGATGAGGATGAGGATGAGAATGAGGATGCTGCTGCTGATGATGATGATGCTGATGATGATGACGATGAGGAGGAGGAGGATGATGATGGTGATGAGGATGACGATGATCATGACGATGACGATGACGATGACGATGATGATGATTACTGATGCTGATGCTGATGTGATGATGATTATGACGATTAGATGCCGATGACGATGACGATGATGATGATGCAGATGCTGCTGTGGATGATGCTGATGTGGTGGATGACGATGGACGAAGCTTGCTGCTGTTGTGATGTGATGTGAAGATGATGAGGAGGAGGATGGAGGATTGATGGAGAATAAGGAAGAGGATGCTGTGATGCTGCTGGTGATGATGCTGAAATGAGGAGGATGATGATTATGACGTGACGATGACGATGATGATGATGATGATGATGATGATGTGATGATGATGATGATGACGATGACGATGACGATGATGATGCGATGGTGAGAGGATGATGCATGATGAAGTCTGACGATGACGATGACGCTGACGATGAGGATGATGATGATGATGATGATTCTGATGATTATGAGAATATGATGGTGATGGTGATGATGATGCGGAGGAGGAGGGTGATGATTATGATGAGGATGATGTACGATGACGTGACGTGACCGAGAGCTGATGATGAGGCTGATGATGTTGACGCTGACGATGACGATGAGGATGATGATGATGATGAGGAGGAGGATGATGATGATGATGGTGATGGTGATGGCGATGATGATGATGATGGTGATGGTGATGATGATGAGGAGGAGGATGAGGATGGTGATGAGGATGAGGATGATGCTGATGCTGCTGATGATGATGATGAGGAGGAAGACGAGGATGATGATGACGATGACGATGACGATGACGATGACGATGACGACGATGATGATGATGATGATGATGATGACGATGACGATGACGATGATGATGATGCTGATGATGCTGATGCTGATGCTGATGCTGATGATGATGCTGATGGTGATGATGATGACGATGATGAGGATGCTGCTGCTGATGGTGATGATGATGAGGAGGAGGATGATGAGGATGAGGATGAGGATGAGGATGATGCTGCTGCTGATGATGATGCTGATGATGATGACGATGAGGAGGAGGATGATGATGATGATGAGGATGACGATGATCATGATGACGATGATGATGATGACGATGACGATGAAGATGACGATGATGATGATGATGATGCTGATGCTGATGATGATGGTGATGACGATGACGATGATGCTGCTGCTGATGGTGATGGTGATGATGATGATGAGGAGGAGGAGGAGGATGATGAGAATGAGGATGAGGATGATGCTGATGCTGCTCGTGATGATGACGATGAGGAGGATGATGATGATGATGATGACGATGATGATGATGACGATGACGATGATGATGATGATGCTGATGATGATGATGCTGATGATGATGATGAGGAGGAGGAGGAGGGTGATGATGATTATGATGATTATGATGGTGATGGTGATGATGATGATGATGAGGATGAGGAGGAGGAGGATGATGATTGTGATGATGATGACGATGACGATGACGATGA